TGGAGCCTGAGTCCTCTGCACGGAGACTCTGGTGTGAGTCTTTACAAGATGATCTGTGAATTCCTGGTAGGGAGACTTCGTGAACACCGTCTCTTTCCAGAGATCTGGGGTCAGATAGCTGTAGGTCTTTGAGATGGCATTAAAGGTGGCCTTAGCAAAGTTGTCCAGGGTGGCTGTGCAGCCCCTGGCTGAGGTGTAACAGTCATCAATTCCAGCCATCATCAACAGCTTCTTAAGCACAGGGGCCGAGACGATTCCAGTGCCTCGGGGTGCAGGGATCAGACGCACCAACACAGAGCCACAGCGCCCAGTCACCCTGCAGGGAACGGTGTGAGGCTTGCCAATCTTGTTCCCCCAGTAGCCACGCCGCACAGGGACAATGGAGAGCTTGGCTAGAATGATGGCCCCACGGATAGCAGTAGCCACCTCCTTGGAGCACTTGACGCCCAAGCCAACATGGCCGTTATAGTCTCTGATGGCAACAAAGGCCTTGAACCTGGTCCGCTAGCCAGCACGTGTCTGCTTCTGCACTGGCATGATTTTCAACACCTCATCCTTGAGGGACATGCCCAGGAAGAAGTCGATGATCTCAGATTCCTTGGTGGGCAGGGAGAAGAGATAAATCTCCTCCAATGATTTAATCTTCATACCTTTCAGCAGGCGGCCCAGTTTGGTGACGGGGAGCCACTCCTTGTCCTGGGCTTTGCCTCCTCGAGCTCCGCGGCCCCTCCCACGGCCCCGTCCACGGCCAGACCCCCGCAGACCGCTACCGCAGACCCCCCCGCGGGCTCCCATCCCAGGGCCTCCAGGCCCTCCCGCTGCACCGGCGTCATCCGCCATTTCGTGTTTTCTCAGAAAAGTAAACTGTTTCAAATTTTAAAAGAAAAAAAAAAAGGGCTTACATCTTCGGAAACCTGATAGGGTCGCTCTGAGTCAGAATAGTTAGTGGCAGTGAGTTCTCAGCCTAAAGGGCTTTATTTTTTCACCTGGTTAACGTCTACCCAACCTCCAAGGCCCAGCTGGCAGTCACCTCCCACCAGCAGCCTTCCCTGATACCATCACCTCTCCCTGTCTTCTCTGCCTGGGTTAGGGCACAAAGTCAGGGTGCTTTACTATTACATCAGCAGCAAAGTGTAGTGGTGAAACACAAAGGACTTGGGGCAACTTTACAGGGTTAGAATAACAACCTCTTTGCCTACTGGTTATACAACCTTGGGCAAGTGAGTCAGACCCACAGCAAAGTGTAATGGCTATGTTTTTCCAAAATGAAAACATTTAAATTTGCTACACTAGTCTTAGTTTGGAAGCAGGAGTGTCATCCAAATCTACTTCCTAAACAATAAGCCTCCGGAAACTATGACTTTAGAGAAAAGATAGCTACAGAACAGGGTTCAGATCTTTTGTTCATAGGGTCGCTATGAGTCATACTCTGTGGCAATCAACAACAACAGTATTGTTACCTCAGTTACCGTGGATAAATTAATCAACGTCTATGTACCTAATTTCCTCATCTGAAAAAGAGAAAACAAAATAGTACCCACCTCAGGATGGCTGTGAAATCTCACTGTAAAAGCATTTAGAGTAGTGTCTGGTACCTAGTAAACCAATTGCTGTGGCATTGACTGTCTCATGGAAAGAGTGTGTGTCTGTAACTTTAAATGGCTGATTTTTCAGAAATAAAGTCTTTTTCATGAGAAGCCTCTGTGTGGGCTTGAACTGCCAACCTTTTGGTTGGTAACCAAGAACATGAACTGTCTATGGCACCCAGGGACTCTGGTTCACAGTAAGCACTCAATAAATGTCAGCACTAATCAATGTGAGTCTGACTTCCAATTCATTGCTGAAAGAACAAATTCATTGAAGCGTACTATTTCGTATTGAAAAGAATGAAATTAAACCGAAACAAATTAAAATTGTTTCCAGAGCTTACCTGTCCACCAGGGAGGATCCCTTTCCACCCAGTCCATTAAGCCAGATAAGGATTGCCCACTCACCCATAGCCATCTCACCATCCCAAGTGAGGGATGCCTTCTGTTTGCCTCAAGTTAACTAGTCAGTTATCATTCCTTAAAAACAAGCAAGAACTCAACAGATGCAAGCTTCAGCCTTGTCTCAGCAATGTCACTCAATCCGTCTGACCGACTAGCATAAACTCTCAGTTAACCCACTTGAGATGTTTGAAACTCCTTTCAACCTTTTAAAGAAAGCAAAACCTGTGGACATTTGCCTTGCTTACAGCTGTTCTCATTACAATCAAAGCATATTTTTAGCTACAAAATAACAACCATCTCATATCCCCCTTTCAGCCATAGTTTATGGCTTCTGTAGAGTTGCAGACAGAATGCAGAGGACCCAGCCCCAGGCATGGGGGTGGGGTGAAAGGGTAAGACTAAAGCTTCCAGATGGAAAGCAGCACGAAAATGAGCTAGACAGACAGGTGGGGTGTGTGTGTGGATGACAAAAATCACTCACAACAACTGCAGTAAAAAGTCTTAAATCTTGCCACTGAGAAGAGAGAAGTGGAGAGGAGAAAAGAAAAAAAAAAAGTACCGGGAGAATTTTGGAGTTCTGCAGCCTAGAAGAGGAAGCTGTGCCCTGGCAAACCCAAGTAAGGCTTCATAGAAGAGGCGATGCCCAGGCTGCTTCTAAAAGGAGAGCCTAGTGGCTGGCTGGGTCTTTGCACAATCTATGGAAGAAGAAGTAATGCCTTTTCTTGGGGACTTTGTGGAGAGGATTCTCCATTACCCTTTGACCACAGACCTCCCCAAGCCTGTGAGCTCTTCCCCTTTGGATACTCACCTTTATAGACCGTCAAGAGCATCTTCTGGTCCACTGAGGAGTCATAGAAGGTAAAGAAGAAGAAGATGAGAATGCTAGCTGCCTGTAGAGCTAAGGCCCACAGGGGTAGGCAGCCCCGGACAGACGGTGGGTACTTAGAGGTCATCCTGTGCTGTTTGGATGCACGGGTTCTGCTTTCACCAGGCAACACTCCTCTCCTTCCACTCTCACTCAAGGGAGTGACTGGGGAGATACCCACCAATGACCTTATCTTAGGCTGCAAGACTGGACTATCTACAGTGTTAACATGGGAGCTGAAGGTTGTGTAAGGGAAGGGGAGGAAATAGACTTATTCCAGTGTTCATTCTACAATAGACTAGACATAGGCTAGACAGTGTACTCAGGTTAAAAGAAGGCAAGGGCACAGTATACATAAAACTTTAACAATACAACAACAAAAACCAACCCAATCATAAAATAGACAAAGAATGTGAATAAATATGAAATTAAATAGTCAAATTGTCATCTGACATATAAAGAGATACTTACCACCAATAAATAAGATTCAGAGAAATGCAAATAAAAATCATAGGAAGATATTATTTTACTCCCACTAGAGTGCCTAAGGAGCCCTAGTGGCATAGTGATTAAGGAGCAAATGGGGGGAGGGGGGAGGGGTTTGTGCGGGGAGAAGGGTGCAACAATGAATGAATGGAATCCCAAAATCTCTGTAGATGTTCATTGAAATGAAAAATAAACAACCTAAATTAAAAAAAAGGGGGGGTTAATTAAAAAAAAAGAGATAAGGAGACATATTGAACTGGGGACTTCTCAAAAATTCTGAGGAGTCATGATGTTTTCTGAATCCTAAAGTGTGTCTGATCTATGACATGAACTTTTATTTTTTTTTAATTTAATTTTATTTTTTTTACCTTTTCTTTTTTTTTCTATATTTTATTAATTTTCATAAACATTTACAGAGATTTTGGGTTTCCATTCATTCATTGTTGCACTATTCTCTCTACCCTCCTCCCAGTTTGTTCTTGTCCAAATGCCACAGTGCTTGTGAAAGCCAGTTCTGATTAATCTTCTTTGTCAGTGTGTCCTTTGTCATTCCCTATCACTCCTCCCTGAGAGAGACTTCACCCTGAGTCATAAGGAAAAGGGGATGGTGTATTTTCTTAGCTACTTCCTGCTGAAAAGGGACACTGTGGGTTTCAGGGTGAAGATCTTCTCTCACTACTCTAAAGGGCCCCTTTGGCAGTAGGAAACACATAGACTATTATGGAGATTGATTTTGGAATTTAGATGCACTCTTATTGATTGTGCTTGGCCGTACATATTCATATCCTTGAAGATGTATCATGGGGGTGTTGCAACCTAGAAGACACAACTTTGACTAACAAGTTATGAGTACATGAGTCCAAAAATTATGGAAAAGTAAAAGATTCTTTCATTGTTTTACAAACCCTCCCCCAGGTCCCCTCCACCATGTAGCCCTCGCTCTAGTCTCCTGTGATGACAGAAATACCTAGTTATATATCTCTTTTAAACAGTTTTCTCCCTCCTCTGTTTCAGTGCAGTATACATTATTGAACCCATCTTACTCAGTCTCTCCCCAACCCCAAGGACAGTCCCATTCTACAACAGTGGCATCATGTAATATTTGTCCTTTTGTGACTGGGATATTTCACTCAGCGTAATGTTCTCCAGAGTCAACCATTTTGAATAATATTGCATGAGTTCCTTGTTTTTTAATGCGACATGAACTTTTCAATCACATGCTATGCTTCTGCGATCTGGGCAGTGAATAAAGATGACCAAAGAAAGAAAAAAAAAAAAGAATTTGGCTGTTAACCGTAAGTTTGGTGGCTTGAACCCACCAGCTGCTTCACAGGAATGTGGCAGTCTGCTTCTGTAAAGATTTACCGCCTTGGAAACTGTGGGGCGCAGTTCTATTCCATTCTATAGTGTCTCTGAGTCTTCATCAACTTGATTGCAGTGAATTACAAAAGTTTAGATTAAAATAACAAGGATGACAACTATTGAGAAGGATGTGGGGAAACTGGAATCCTTATCCTTTGCTAGTGATACAATCATTGCCGAAAACAGTGTGGTAGCTCCTAATACAACCCCCTGAAAATATATCTGACATATGACCCAACATTCCACCTCTCCTTATATACCCAAAAGACTTAACAGCAGAGACTCAGAGACCTGCATTGTTTTATTGTTTATTACTGGGGCACCATTCTAATAACCAAATATGAAAATAGCCTAAATGCCCATCAATAGACGAATGAACAAAATATGGTACATATATAAATAGCAGAATACTACTAAGCCTCAGGCCTGGTTTTAATTGTTTTTGGTCAAACATTGCTATAGCACTGGTATGTCCATTTGCTGTTCAGAGGTAACTCGTGGTTGCTGTGATGCTAAACACTGTGACACTGGTGTGTCAAATGCGATAATGGTTACCCATGGTGGACAGGGTTTGGTGGAGTTCCCCAATTAAAACAAGTTGGAAGCACGAGTGGCATTCACTTCCAAAATGGCTTTCCCCTGGAAACCCTATGAACCTGGAGAAAGGATGAAAGTTATACAAGTGTTCAGGTCTTTTGTTCATAGGGTCCCTATGAGTCATCAACAACTTGACAGCACTTAACAACAACAACTAGTAAGCCAATATGAGAAATCAAGTTTTGATACCTGCTACAACATGTTGTCTATTGTTTCTAGGTGACATCAGGTTGCCTACGACTCATAGCGACCCTATGAACAATGGATCTGAACTTTCCCTGTCTTGCACCATCCTCGCTGTTTCAGGTATGATCCAGCCCGTTGTTCAGTCACTGTGTCAGCACATCTTGTTGAAGGTCTTCCTCTTCTTCTCTGATTCTCCACCTCTCCCAGAATGATGTAATTTTTCAAGGACTGGTCCTTCCTGACAACAGGCCCAGTGTATGCGAGATGAAGTTTCACCAACCGTGCCTCTAAGGAGCGCTCTAGTTGCATGTCCTCTGAGACAGACTTGTTCCTTAGGCAGCCATGGGATTGTCAGTACTCTTCTCCAACACCGTAACTCAAAGGCATAGATTCTTCTGTCATCCTAAGTCATCATCTAACTTTCAGAGGCAAAAGAATTGAAAATGTCATGACTTGGATTAGACATACCTTCATTTTTAAACTGACCTCAGTTTTCAAACTGACAACATAGATGGAAGTAAAAGACATTTTATTGGGTGAAATAAGGCAATCACAAAAGGACAACCACTGTATGCTCTTAGACAAAAGATCAAAACTAACAAATGTACAGAGGAGAAAAAGTGGGTGTTAACAGTAATGGAAAAGTCCTATTTATTGCACTGCTGTTGTATATAAATTTTATATATATATGTTGTGTATCTGTAAAAATTTAATTGGCAAAAGTTATGTGATAGATAAATTTACAACAGTGACCACACATGTGCACGTGTGTGCACACACACATGCTGGGATAGGTTGTGTACTACCAAAATCCTAATAGGATTTAGCTTCTTGGTTTGGATATTTAGGGTCATGAGTTCAAGAGACAGCCCAGTTAATTTTTCTAATAATGGGTTTAGTACTTTTGTCCTGCTTCTTAGTCAATGTGTAATGCATCTGAAGAGCTTGCAAGCTGCCATCCAAAGCACACAATTGGTATCTACTCACCTGGAGCCACAGACAAAAGTTAGTCAGGATAGGAGGAATATACCCCAGCTGCTTCGCAGGAGAAGGATGGGAAGTCTTCTCCTGTGCAATTAATTGCCTCTGAAATTGTGCTGGAGGGCCAGCTGTGAGTCAGTTCCAACTCCAGGGCACACAACATCAAAATAAGCAATGTAGAGCTGATTGCTTCCCTCAACAACTACCTCCTCTACTATGAGCCAAAAGAACTTGATGGTGTCCCACTGCCATCACTGAGCATTTAAAGCAATTATTCATTGTTGCACATTTTCTTCCCTCCTCTAGTCCACTTTGCAGTACACCTCTTAATACTGAACATTTTGATCAAAGATTCTGTAGGAGACTCTTGATCAAAAGGGGGAAATTGTCAAACAAAACTTCAAATTCTCATGGACTCTAGACTTTCTGGAGCCATGGGGAGTGGCTGCACCCTTTAAACTATTGTCCTGAAGTAATATTTAAACACTGAATAAAAAAAAAATCCCCAGAAGTCTTTGTAAAACCAAGCAAGCGTTCGGCTTAACAATGTAAAAAATGTCTTGTTTGAGTATCACATTCTTTTAGATCTCTCTTTATGGGATCAGATTAGCAGCAGCAATGCAAAAGATTACTTAGGAACCTTAAGGGACAGGGTATTTATGTTACTGGAGGAGAAATGACTCAGAACGGAGGGTGAGAATGGTTACACAACTTGAAGAATTTTGACCCTGCAGGCAACTTCCTTTACTGCAAACATAAAAACATGTAAGCAGACTTGCAACACAGTGACAGCAGCAAGAGTTTTGAACATGGCAAAGAGCGTGAAGACCGCACAGGAGAAGGCAAGGGCTTGCACTGTTGTTAGTAGGTGTGCTATGAGTGGTGGCCGCCTCAACAGCATCTAACAATTTGCCATCTGGATTATAGAAAAAAATGAGCAATGGTGCCTGTGGCCTCTTGGCCTGGGTTCTAGGCTCCTCACAGCTTTTTTATGCAATTGTACATTTAGTGGAGTGGACTTGGGGGGAGGGATTGAATAACAATGAAAAAAATTTTTCTTTTACATTTCAAAAAGGAAAGCAAATTTGGGGGCGGGATGGGTGGGGGGAAAGTGCAACAATAAATTAATGGCAATCCAAATTCTCTGTAAATTTCATTAAAATCAATTAAAAAATTTAAAAAAAAGCAGGACTCTGTAAGAATACTAGTCAAGCCCTGCTTGCTATTCTGAGTCAAACCTCCAACCTTTTGGTTATCAGTTAACTACATTATTAATTTATAGCCTCCGGGAAATCCAAGAAGGGAGGGAGATAGTTCCTTCATTTTCTCCCTTGACACTTGACTACATCAAGGCTGTGATCTTGCTGAGGGCATGCCTGCTAAAACATGGCTGAGCAAACCACACATAAATATTTGCTTTAGAAAAGACTGAACATGCAAGGATGTGTAAACTTTATCAAGAACAGATTTGACACT